CTTTAAACTTCCGTGTCCTTTTACACAAATTCTCCTCCGTATCCACATTTTTACCGTCCTGCCAAGGCAATCAAAGCTGCCTGTTATCGGTTTCAGTGTCGGTGACAATCTCCGTCAACTTAATTTTATTTGAATTTCATTCATGAAGGTAAGTTAATCCACAAGCATTCGGCATCCATCGGCAAAAACCCACTAGCACAATCATGTGCAATATTCTATGAGACAGTTAATTCATCACTGTCAAACATTTACGTTCTGGAAACACTTTCGCTAATGATCCGCGACTGCTTTTCGACGGCCGCTCCGAGATTCGCCGGTTTTTTTAACAGCCAACGGAGAAATCTCATCTTCCACAGTTAAAACTTCTGAAGTATCAAATGTATGCAGATCAGCATATTCCATACGCAGTCTCCAGTGCCGCCTTATTTAAGGGTCCCCTGACGTAAAAAAAGGACTAATTGTGGATTTTTCGAAATTGCTTTCCTTTCTTCTCGGCCTTTATGTCGTAGATGTACACAATAAATAAGTTTTATCGCTTCTTGAAAAGCCCGTAGTCGCAGATAGAAGCGAATATGCGAGTTCCGGGAAGCACTTCAGAAGAAGATGCGACCACTGGAACAAGAGTTTTATTGTGCTGACTTTTCGGATTTTATCGCGAATTCTTAAGCATAGGTAATCGTAGAATAATCTGAGCCATGCGCACCATTTAAGACTTCAAGCGGTGGCTACAAGAACTGATAATTATAGTACGCATACGGATGACTGCTAAGAACTATAAATACCGTACAAACTGCATTTATCACGCTTATTTGCGCATGTCTCAAATTATTATACGATTACCTATGATTAAGGATTCTCGACAGAATCCGAAACGCCAGGACAATGAAACTCATGTTCTAGTGGTCGCAGCTTATTCTCCCAACCCCGTAGTTCCTTTTAGGCAAGACCCCGTACTCTGTCAGACCTCCCTCCGGCAGAAATTTTGTTGAGAAGGGACCTGCCGATTAGTTTCTCGACGACATCGTCGGCTGGTACAAAGGTCAAAAACTAAGTTGTGTCACGCAATAAGTTTTGCTCTATAGATTCAAACCTTATCCATCAGGCAGGCAGGACCATCTTGCCATGTAGTCTTTATGCTGTTTTACGATTACGACTTGAATTGCAGCCATTTCGGCCAATAGAAACAAAATCTTTTTCAATTCCCCTACATTCTTGAGGGAAACACCCAAAACGGAGGGCATTTTTTGATGGACAGGGAATAAATTTGTAATTGATGGTTGTGGAGGCATCATATGTTGC